CTGAAGCACCTCCTGCCTCATTAAGATCTCTTGATGGTGATCCATTTGCTATGTGCAAAGTGTATTTTTTTCAGACTTGACCATAATTAAAAAATGCTCAATCTTTATAGTTTAAATTGCTATGAATTCTTGAAATTACAAGAACAAGTTCATTCTGTCCACTCTGTATATGCGTATTTTTTAATGAAAAAAGAAAGGTTAGTTTAAAAGATGTGTACTTAATAATTATAAAAGGAGAAGTATATTTAGTGTCACACTGCAGGCTGGGATTTCACACATTTCTGCACTGATACGATAATAATGATTGCAGTTACTAGCTAAAAGGACAAAGGATTAAGAAGTGTTAGCTATGTAACAAAAAGAAAGGCCTAAACCCAGTTGCATTTTAACCATCCAGCAAGCTTAATACTGATGAGAAAATACACTCCTTATAGAGGAATGACAAAACTTAGTAGAAGCAAATGGGTGTATCTGATGTATGTATGCTGATTCAGGAATGTAGAGGTTCAAAACAAACTTCTGTGTTGTGTCATTCAACACTGCTTACAATATCTGTAAATCACGGGACTCTTTTCTATATACAGTATCTATAAACCTCATGCCGCTTGTAGCTCCTTGTTAAATACACTTTGCTTCTTTAACTTATGTCTGCTAAGGTATTTCTTTCATGTCCAAGCTACCTTATTTCTCTTCTGCACATATCTAATATTTAGCTGTACTTTTAAGGACTAATCATTGCAAACATGCTGCCAGTTGGCCTGCTCTAGTAGAATCATAACCTCTTTTGTTTTCGGTCTGCAAACATCCCATTACATTCTTTAGATTTACCACCACTTCAGCATCCAGGTTGACTCATTAACATTCTCTCCTAATTTTTCCAACTCTCTTATTTATGTGAAAAAAAACCACAAGAATCAGTTCTAAGAATATATACAACCAAGCGCTGAATTGAGCATGTATAATATACATATATATATATACACAGTATGAGTGTATGCATTTATACAACTTCCACTGAGACATGACTATAAATTGCTACAGTTGAAACAAAGCATAAAGTTGAACAAGCACTGCCATTGATCCATATATACCATCGATCCACATAGCAAAGTGTCATTGAAAACAAGTGGCGTTTGAGAAAAATATAATAGGAATACCTAACTTTGTAGAAGGTCTGTGCCTAAAATTCAGTATTCCACTTAACTAAATGGATATGTGCTTGATTAAAGATGACACTGTAAGTTCCAGTTGAAACATTTTCTCAATTGTTTCAGAGGCAAAATGCATTCCTTATGGGATAAAACTGCAGAAAAGTAGGTGATTATTACTACCTTAAAGCATTGTCAAAAAGAGAAGTGCTGAAAGTGGAAGGTGATGGTGCTAAACTAGGAAGACTTCCGCATTTTTCAACTCAATAAAGACAACTGAAATACTTTAACAGTTTATTGACTGACTTAGTTGAGAAAATCTTTATAAAATCACACAATGACCCAATATGTGCCTCAGTACTGTGTGTAATATCCATTTATCTCAACTAGTGTTCTTGTTTCCATTATTGTACTGAATGTTTTTTTATATTTTGAACACGCAGGTGGCTATGGAGCCATTAAGCCACTAAAGCACTGTCTAGTAAAAAGGGTTTGTGCCCTAGTCTAGAGCAACTCTAGTTCATTATTAGAATTCTAACACATGGTACAGCTAAAGTAACTTCACTGACTAACAGACAAAGAGAGCATAACAACTAGAGTAGCTTATGATTAATTAGGGTAACATGATTTATGGATTCAGGGTTCTGTGGGTTTGATCCGAAGTGTTTTTTTTTTTCAAGAAGCTTTAATCACCGTCCTGTTTTCCCAAAGCACGTGCCACTTACCGTCAGATTCTGAGCACATGGGCCTGAATCCTGCAAACATTAGATTCTAGCTTAAATCCTTTGGGTTCTTTTTGCTGTAGGGAATTCTGGGAAAACCCCAGGAACTCAGTGAAACAAGAAACTTGCACCATAGCTGGTCAGGATTAATAGCCTATAAAATAAATCATTTTTTGATGTTATTATTTCTGCACATGTATAGCACTAATCATGCAAAATATTTAAGCAGCTTTTTTAGCAGTCAGATCAACAGGGGAACTTGCATAATCTTAAGCACCTGACAAGACTGGACCTTAACTGTCTGTAGTTGCAATAGTAACTATGGAACGGATTAATTTTGTGCGGTATTTTCAGCACAAACTGCATCACAAAGTGTTAATAAGTAATAGGAGAGAGAAGCATACACAAATGATGTGATTTCAGAGAAGACTTGAGAGGGGATGTTGATGAGGTGGAGGTTTTAAGAATTAAATATTAAAAAACAAAAAGGCTGGTTTTGGCTGGGACTGATTGATTTTCTCTGCTGAGAAATAAAGGGGCTTTTTAACCTACCTCCTGGACAAAGATGCAAGGCTTAGTGTCAAACTGCTCAGTGGAATCATCACTGTATTTAGTTTATTTTTAAGAGAAGGCAGAGGATCTCAGTTAGCTAACTACAGCCCTCTCCAGTTCCAAACGTGTGTTTTGCCCTTTGCCTCACCTTTCTGTTTCTTCATCACTTCAAAACTCCACATGGAGTTGGCCCAAGTTCCTGAAGCACGGCAGTGATACGGCCCCACTGAAGCGCGGGTGATTGGAAGGGCTGTGTGCCATTGCGGAGCTCCGCACACCAGCCCCTCTTCCCAGGGCAACAGTCGCAGCAAGGCCGCAGCGAGGCTATCACAGACGTGCCCAAGGAGAAGCGAAGCTGCTTCAAGCGCCAGCCCACACTGTTAAATCATGCCGTAACGGGTTGATTTCCTACATTTGGTGGCAGCATAGTATTCAGGATAACGCTATCGCTACTTCGGCAGGTTACTGCCAAACCAAAAGGCAGAGATGAGAGAGTTAAATAACAGTGATGGGGAGTGAATCGCTAAAAAGTCTTTCCCAGAGTCAGTTCTCTGTTTAGGGGAAGTTATTTTAATTCCACGTCTCGCAAAACAAGCCGCAGTCTCTCCGTGTCCTCTGGAGCCAGCCTGCCTGACATGATAACAAGATTTTTAAATAAAAGATGCGCAGGGGCAGCTCATGTTTAGGAGACAAGAACGCGGCTCCGCTCTGAAGCGCGCGGTGCGAGTGACACCGTACCTGTGCGCAGCGCGCCGCTCACGCCCATGGTGTAGCGGAGGGCGGCCCCATGGCCCCCGTTCCGACAGGACCTGCCTTCGCCTTGCAGGTGAGCGGGTCTCCGGGAAGCGCCCGCCCGGGAGAAGGAGCGCTCTATTTATCAGGAGAGCGGCGCCCCGCACTCCTCCCTCAGGGCTGCCACCCCGGCCTGGAGCCCGCGGGGTGAGGGGGCTCTGTGGGGTTTCGTCTCTCCCGCCCCGGTCCGGGAGCGCGCTGGCCATTACCTCCCGTCAGCGCGGCGCGCGCAGGGTGGGCTGAGGAGGCGCTCCCGCGCTTTTGGAGACGCACCTGTGGGGAGCGCCCGGCTGGGCGGGAAGTCTCTTATGTAAGGGATGGCGGGAGCTGCGGTAGGGGGGGAGAGTGGCTGATCAGGAACGCGGTTCGGGGGTCAGGCCGGCGGGACACTCTCTGGTCTCCGGGCACGCAGCCTCCCGCGGGCGCCTCAGAGGCCGGGCCGGGCACGCCCTCACCCGCACGCTGCCCGCCACCGCGATTTCCCCTTTGGCGGCAGCCGGCTGGTTGCCGCGGCGAGTCCGTCCAGCCTCTCGCGTTCCGCCCGGGCAGCCGTCGCCTTCTGCGGGCTCGCCCGGCTCCAGGAGCGGCTCGGCGGGCACTGTGGCTGGCTTAGGGAGTTGTGTGAGAGAACGCACCGGGATCGGCGGGGGAGCGGAAGGTGGATGCCCCCCGCGCCTGCACGCCGGCACCAGGCAGCGCGGAGAGGCTCCCCGCTTGCTCCTCTCCTGCTTACCGCGCCCTGCAGCGCACTCGCCTCAGCCCTCCCGCCTCGGAGCCCCCTCCACGCCCCTCTCCCTGTCGCGCCGCGCAGTGCCCCGCACTCCCTCCGCCACCTCCCCCCCCGTACTCCTCCTCCTCCCGCGCGCTCCCTCTCCCGCGCACTCCACAAGTGCCGCGCGCTCGCTCTCCGGAGCGGCGCCGGGCTGCGGGCGCTGCGCGGGGGCGGTGGCTCCGCCCGGCCCGGCCCGGCCCGGCCCGGCCCGCGCGGGGCTGTCCGCGGTGCTGAAGGCGAGCGCGGGCTGAGCGGACGCCCGGCCCCTGACGGAGCCTCTTTATGTTCAGCTCCTGGCGCAGCGCAGCATCCAGCAGCTCGAGCGGCGGCGGCGGCACTGCTGAGCCGGGACTGGGAGGCAGAATGGAAGGCTTTATCCGGCTGGTCTTCGGCTACTTGGTGGCGGACCTTCTCACGCTGGTGTGTCGGGCTCAGGAGAAAGCTGGCCAGCAGCTAGGGAGCTTTGTGGTGCTCTCGGGAGGAAACCACTCCAGCCCTGGGGAGCAGCTAGACCCCTCTGAGCCACCTCCTACTCCGGACTTCTGCAGGGGCTACTTTGACGTGATGGGGCAGTGGGACCCCCCCTTTAACTGCAGTTCGGGGGAGTTCATTTTCTGCTGCGGCACTTGTGGCTTCAGGTTTTGCTGCAAGTTCAAGAAGACAAGGCTGGATCAAAGCACCTGCACAAACTATGAGACACCGTTGTGGATGAACACTGGGAAGCCTCCTTCGCGCATAGACGACCCTCTACATGACCCTACCAGGGATAAAACCAACCTCATTGTCTACATCATCTGCGGGGTTGTGGCAGTCATGGTGCTGGTGGGGATCTTCACCAAACTAGGGCTGGAGAAGGCACACAGACCACAGCGGGAGCACATGTCCAGGTAAGGCTGAATGCCAGGCAGCAGGGTCCCCCTCCCCGCCACCTGTCCCCTACCCCCAAAGAGGAGAGTGAAGCCCATTTGTTCCTGCTAAACAAACAACTCTTGCCAGTCAGGCTGCATTCCCCTGCAAGGTGATCAAGAGAGAGACCAACTTCGGCAAGCAGAGCTCCTGTGTTTCCCCAAGCCCAGGTTATCAAAGTACATGCATAATGAGGAGGACTAGAAATAATTGTGGAGTCTGCACAGACAGTAGTCCATTTTTATCTGCAGTGGTTGACCCTCTCCCCAACATGAACCAGCAAGTGTTCCTGAATATACTGTGCATGAATAGGAAAACAAACAAACAAACAAAAAATCCTGAAACCAGCAACACTGAATTATAGAAAGCCTGATAGGGTCCCTCTTCCAACTGTTTCAAAGCCTGGAAAATGTTTTTGCTTCTCAAGAGAAGGATGTAAACAAATGTCATCTCACCCTCGCTCTCCAGCTGCGAAATGGTTTTGGCAGGACCTTCCCTACTCCCCCAACCCCTGCAAGTGTGTGAGCTATTTGTGAAATTTCTAAGCTGCGAAAATGAGCCAGGGTGGAAGGAAAGAAGGAGACCCAAAAAGGAAAAGATGTTGTAGAATTTCTTAACATTTTTTTTCAGTACTATTGAAAGGTAAAAAATGGAATATGAAAGTATTGTCTTATCCATGTATGTGTGTGATATACTTTGTCTCCACAGTGTCACAGCTGAGTTATATCAAAGAGAACCTCCCCCACCTACAGTTAGGCATGCTGTGTACTGTCTACTCCAGATGCTGGTTGCCTAGTGGTGGATAGGCAGGTGGGCAACTCGGGACAGAGCACAGTGGCTTTAACAACATACTCCAAACCCAGATTTTCACAGCAGTTCAAAATCAAGGCATGACACATTTGTCAAGTTTGCAGTCTGTCTGATTCTTTATGCTAATCCCAGGCACATGAAAGGAAAGCAGATGGGGGAAAGGCATTAAAAAAGGCAAACAGCTCCATTAAAGAGTCTAAATAGATTCCAGCATATTGGGCAACTTTAGTGATAAAATGATATCAAAAGGATACCTTCTACTGGACGTGCAGTGTGGCAGAAAGCTTCCTCTTGTCCTGGCTGGTAATGATGTAGTTCACAGTCTTTGAAGCTTAGATGAAGAGTCATCCTCTGAAAGATAGTCCAGGAGATCAAGTCAACACCTGGAGCCTTATTTTTTACTGGCTTCCGCATGACTTTTTGATTAACTGCTTATCCTGAAATGAACAGAGAAAGCCACAAAAATATTCCTGCAAACGCATCTCTAGTTTACTGGCAATTATTTGCTATTTATAAACTGGCTGATATGGATACACTTACTACCAAGGAACAAAGCACATTGCAGAAATTTTAGTCAACACTGTGTGGTTGATACTTCTGCAAAGAGGCATTTTGTTGAGCAAGGTATAATAATCCTTTAGACATTATGAATATTCTCAACTAGTAGTTGAGAAAAAGATTACATAGGTCCCAATTTATTTTTAAAATCTTACTTTTAAGCTACAGAGCTTGTTTGGTTCAGCCTCTTCCTGTAGTGTCTTCATACAGGTAAAAAGGCAGGACAGAGTGGAGTTTTGGCCATCCCTGCTTACATACGGCTTTAGTAGATCTGATTTCTCTTAGTAGAAGTATTTGCTATCTAAAGTACAGGTGTGCAGTATTCTGTCTTTGATCATGGAAATAGAATTATAGGGGATTGGAAAATAATACTGAACTCCTTCAGTCATGTATGCATAAAGATTAGGTTTCTGAAGTGGTTCTTGGAAAAGGTTGTCTGTTACCCTGATTACTTAACAGTGTCTGAGATCTTGTACTTTTCTTGCCATGAAAATATTCGAGTCAGGATTATACAGAAACTTGGAAAGTCATGATCACATGGGAAAACAGTCACCCACTCAGTACACATAATAGCTAGTCATGTTCTGAAAAAGCAGTGCTACAGCTTTCTGTTTTTTTAAAGATAAAAGTTCTCTCAGTCCTATTACAGCTGTGGAGAAGACTCACCATTAATTTTAAAAGGAGTATGATTTTTAATTCCCTTTGGCAATCTAAAAATCTGCTCACTGAGGGAAGAATTGAAGTAATCTCTGTCCTCAAAATGTGTATTCAACTAAAATATTCCATCCTAGCTTATTTTACACTACTAGTGTTCTGAAAAAAAAAAGGCTGCATTGCTTAATAAAGAACCAATTTATCTGTTCAAACAGTAAATAGTACCAACAATTAAAATATTATGTAGCCTATATTCATTTTCACTTTTTCAGCACTCATCACTAAAACATAAAAAAAACCCCCACCAAACAAAAAAACAAAAAGAACGCTGCTTATGGTTTTTTTTTTTTGTTTCTGTACTGAACCTTATTAATAAGCAGAAGTATAAAGCATCCAGAGTGTTAGGTAGGCCAAACCGAAAGTACTAAGTGTTACTCCATTTTGGCAGGCAGCAAGAAACACATGTAGGCTGATTTGTCATCTATTTCCTTAGCTAAGATTGTCTCCTTTCCCTCACTAGCCAACAGCTATATGAAACAATTGGATCATATTTATTCCTATGAAAAAATTCACCTATGGTGAATACACTGACCTCCCATTTGTTTACTACTATATCAAAACAAACCAAGAACACTGCATTAATTTCCCTGATTTTTTCTCAAATATTTGACAATGGAGAAGATTTGGGGAAATGATTTATTTAAAGAAAACAATCCTTAGAGAAAAGTCTCTATTGGGCAAGTCGTTTTAGGAAAAAAGAGTCAAAATTTGTCCTTTCTCGGAGAGCTTGTTACTTCCTTTTGTTTTGAGAAAAAAGGCCAAATGTGGCACTGTTGACATTTTCTCTCTTTGTCAGATCAGCGCTTTTCAGTAAAACTCACTGTTGGCATGGAACTGTAAATCTGGAAGATGAAAATGGAGAGGGAAGTACAGTATTAACTCTAAAGGGCATATTTCACTTTAGACATCATATGTTAATGTTTTCTTTATATCATTCTCATTTTTAAATTTGTTACTTGACATTAAATGGAGATAAATATTCCCTTCAGCTATGGTGTCCAAGAACTAAGCTGTAATAGGAGTAGCCAAACAGACTAACTCTTCCTTTATCCTCCTGCTTTCTAAGAGAGTAAGGGTATATTAGAATAAGATGGTGTATGTTAACAGATATGGCAAAGTGAACAAATGTGGCAGTATTGTGCCTAAAAGGAAACAGAAATGATCTGCCTCCCGAAACAGATCTAGAAAGCTATTAGGCACGTGAGAGCAGCATGTTTTTGCTGCTCAAGGGTACATTAGTGGCACTTTCAAGTTCCATCAGCTGAAATGAAGTACTCTCTCTCAAAAATGTGTAGAAAAGGGGAAAGCTTTCTGCTGTTTCATGAAGGAGATTTTTCTGCAAATAAACCCACACCTTAGTCTTCTTTCCTAATCCTTGTGGAGAATGTGCAAACAAACCAGGAACTGAAAGGCCAAGGTTTACAATCATGCTCTTACGCTATAGCTCATGGTCTTTTGAAGCAGTGCTTCTGACAGTATGTTAGCAACCTTCCAAATATTTTGAACCATCTGAGCTCTTCTTTCTTCTTTTCCAATGTGCTGAGCTCACAAGTCTTCTGTTGATCATTAAAAAGGCATGTACCTGGGGCCAAAAATAGTCCGACTTGCCAAAATTGTGAATCCTATATGTGAAATTATTTCCCTTACGAGTGTTGACCCAGTTTTGGAGGCAAAATATAACAAGTGACCTTTTATGAAATAACCTGTGCTTTAGCTTCTTCAAGCTTGTACCCATAAGGGAAACACCTGGCTCCACATGCTTTGTAACACCTGAAAATAGTATTACATAGCCAAAGAAAAAAAAATTTATAGCAAGAGAAATGCTGAAGTTTGTGATACCTGGATAGTTCTGGGCCATGAACTCCTTAGTAAGTAACGTTTCTCCACTTCGGTAATAGTGCAATCAGTATCAGTACACAGGACCCAGTGATTTAGCTACCTGATTAGAAGGTTATCTTGTATTATACATTTCCTTAAAAAATCATTCAGTATAGCAAAGGTGTAGAAAAGACCCTTTATGTATATATAATTTTTCAGTGCAATTCACTCTAACAGTTTCTTCAGGTAGTAAGATCTATATGATGATATTCAGGTGAGCCAAATGCATGAAGGTATTATAACAGTCTGTTGGCCTGCGTGGAATTTTTCAAAGCAAAGATCTATTCAAGGATTTCACCATGTACTGGGGCACAAACCTCCCTTTTTCATTATATGGGCAAATCCCTAAAAGAACAAAATACAGCTACAGCATTTCCTTTGTACTTCAGTGATACAAGCTGCTATACATTTTTAACTCTCCCTGACATCAGTGGAAGATAAGGACAAGCTCTTTGTTATATGAGCTATTCAGCCCTGAGGAGAGTATACAACTTTGACTAACACAGTATAAACACTGGTACTGTGTTGTTAAAAATAGAACTTGATGGTGAGTAGTTCCTTTTTTCTTAATACAGTGGGAGCTGGACAGCTAATTCCTTAAAACCTCTTTGAAAAAGGCCACCCTAAAATGGTAGAAAACTCAGTTGGCATTTTCACACACAAGCAGTTGTTAATCTTCTCTCATACGGGGTGTTATGTAAAGTCTACAGTGAACAATATTTAAATAAAGGACAATGAAAGTGTTTCTGAAAACCTGTTCTCACAAAGTTGGGAAATGCTAATCCATGTATTACGAGATCTCACAGTTTTAACTCCCACACTGAAGTTAGGAACTTTCATTTGCCTTTCTTCCTTTCCCAGAAATGTGTCCGGCTGATGAATACTGATGTCAAGAAGTTTCTTTGTATAAAGACATATGTGCATAAATTGAGGAGATATTAATGGTTTTGGTCCCCCCTTATTTTAAACTATGTTTTGCAATATAATGCTTTCCTTTCTCCCCATTTTCCTACATACCTTTGTGAGATCTCTTCGATCGAATTTTTATTATTCTGCTATGTAGGCCAGCTCTGCTATTTCTGCTGTATAAGCATTACTTCAAATGGGAGCATTCCTCTGATAGCATTAATCATTTGGTTACTGTCTTCTGACCTTTTACAGTATCAACAGAGTATTCTGTAACATGTTGATCACAACTGTAACTAATAATTTAATTACATAATGCTAGCCATAAACACAATGAAACATCAGTCTTATTCAGCTGTGTACCAAAGCAATGTTCCTGCAATCTGAAGCAAGATCCAGTTCAAGATTCCTCTCTGTCACTTAAATGAAGCTACTTTTTAATATTTAAAAGCACAGTGCTTCCTGATCAAGAAATCATCATGTCACAGAAGTAGGGTGGAGGAGATAGATGGCACTTGCCATGGCTTTCACCAGTGAATGTGCTTGGTTTTATTTATTTATTTATTTATTAATGTATAAACTAGTCTTTCTTGATGCAGTATCTGGGACACTGTATATAATTTTGCAGAAAATTAAACTAAACTGGGCACAGTGCCCAGAAAATAAATCCATTCCCTTAAAAACAAAAACTCTGAAGACACTGGTAACACACACCACAGGCTTCCTTTGCCTAAGGCAACAGTTTCTGCAGGTGGGCCAGCTCTTTTGTATGGCACAGTAATTCATCAGGTAGCTATGTGGCATGTACCTAAGGGTTAATCCTGCTCCTACAGAAGTCAATGGTAAAACTCCATAGCCCAGAATCACAGACAAGAGTTAGATGTTGTCATGCTGAGTTTTGGAGCTTAAAACTTAGTCACCAACTCTGGATCCACAGGGCTTATACAGATGTGTGTTCTTAAATGTCTGGCGAATAATGGACTTGCACTCAGTAGGACACTTGGCAGTGAGATTAGTCCTTAGAAAATACACCAAAGGAGGACGATTCTGTCTCAGATATAGCTGATGCCTGCAGCTCTGCAGAAAAAGTCCACAACCAGCACCAGGTTGGGCCTGGCCTAACTTAGGAATCCTTTTGCTTGCCCCCTCTTTGCTAGCATAAAGCTTTTATCCTGTTTCTGAACTGGCTTCAAAGCAGCAAGGAGTGTGCCTGTGCAAGCTTTGCTCCATTTTAGTGACTAGGAGACTCACAGGAGTTAGAAAAGCCATTTTTCATCTCCCTTGTGGATGGGAAAAGCTTAAATCCTTGCCTATTCAATTTCTACGTGAAAATCTTGTGACCTTTCACTTTTGCTGACATTTTTTATTAATTTGACAACAG